CCATGGATGTTAAAGATTCGTCATGGAAACATAAATGCCAATAAAGAACCTGTATTTTTAAGAGTGAATGGGTCAGGAAATGACACACTACAGCTTTAATGCTGCTTAACACTAATACAGGTTATGGCAATAATAGCAAGTAACAAAAGATTTTGAAGAAGCATTACCACTGGGATGCGTCGAGTTGCTCTCAAGGGTGAACTTGATCTTCAGCCTCCACGTTCTGATGACCATTTCTGTTCCCAACAGGCGGAGACTTATGTAAACATGGCCTGATTCCTAGGAAAAAATACTCACTATTCACGATCCAATCCATTACTGCAATGGATAAAAATCAGTTGACGTAAATTGCTTTATGCAACACATTTTGCTTCCATAACCTAATGTTTTTCAGAAATAGAATATTTAACAGGAAAAAAAAAATATTGTTGGGGTGAGACCTGAATGAAAATGCAAATAAAGCCATCCTTTAAATACATTTTAAAACATTATCCATTTTATTGATCGGATCATTAACCAATAACCCATGTGTGGTTAGCGAAAAAAGAAAAATTATTTCAGAAGATTAAAGATTATAAAGATATGTTTTTCTTTGGAATAACACGCACCAATGATTTGCTCACCATAAAAGCAGGAACATGAATTTGAAAGTAAATAGGGTCAGGTTCCAGGGAAACTACAAGTTCCCTCACATAAGCTGTGAAAAGCTTTTCATAATAGGAAAATTTTCACAAGGAAATATTCGAAATGCAAACCAACTCAACAGAGGATAACACAATGAAGAGCATTTAGCGATCATTTTATGTGGTTATGTGGTTTAATTTCACCACATGATTCACAACATGCAGCTCAGGAGTCCTCTCAGGTAAGTTAGCGGTTAGAGGTTTGCTGTAACGCTACATGAGCACTCTCCGTCTCTTTGACTTTGAGAATGGTTAATGATGTGGGCCAAAGCTGAAACAAGACCATGAGGGTAAAGTTACTCTCTCTGGCACACTAACAGACAACAAAGCAGGTCAGCAGTTTGAAGCATGCAAATCCAGTCCATCCTGCAAACTTCTGTATGAAACAAAAACACATTTAGACACGGCTTACTACAACAAAAACACATAAACAACAGCCTAAAAAAGTATTTAGGTATTACACTTAAACCTAATAATACAATTATGTTTTGTGTCCAAATAAAAGTGTGTTCCCTTCAAGAAACACATAACTTCCCGATAAACTTGACATCTTTCAGTTTCTGTAGCAATGAGAACTTATAATTATCTAAATCTCTCATTCCAGCATGAAATGACTAGTAATTTGGCCTAATGGTTTACAGTGACAGAGAAAGTTGATCTATGGCAGCTGAGAGGTGAGCTGCATTCATATAGCCTGATGGCAGGTGAAGATTACATTCATGCCGGTCACGATGAGAACGTGGATTGTAAACGTGAAGTGTTTCTATAGAGGATCATGCAGAAAACTGCACTACTGTATTCAATACGTGTTAACCAAGAATGTGGACGTTCTGGTCAGGCAAGGTCTTTCACGTACGTGGCGTTGACAGGCGACTGTCCTCAGCTACTTTGAAACTGCTGCTTGTCAAAATACTGTACTGTAAAAAATGATTTTCTGGTTACACTTTAGATTGGGGAACAATTCTCACTATGACTTTCCCCTCAATAAACTCTTAATTTGCTGCTTATTAACAGTTAGTAAGGTAGTTAAGTTAAGGTGTGAGGTAGGATCTAAAATAAGAATAAGGCATTAATATGTGCTTAATAATCACTAATAAACGGCCAATAAGCTAGTAGTATGCGTGCTAATAAGCAACTTGTTAATAGTGAGAACTGGTCTCTAACTTAAAGTGTTACAGATTTTTTAAAAGTTGTAAATAAAATAGATTATTAGCATACAATGTAAAAGAAAATATGAGTTTTAAAATAAATAGCTTTATTATTTAACAAATAACAGTTTTTCTATCTCAACATTTCACGTTTAATTAAAAATGTTACTTGCTATTTTTTTGTAATTGTGAAATTTACTAACAATTTTTAAGTGAAAACCTTTTTTCAGTTTACAAGAAAACATAAGTACTGTAAAATAGTAAATATTTTAATTGGTAACATACTGTTGTTTAATTTTAAATTATATATTGTTTTTAAATTAAACGAAATAAAAATGATAGTAAAGCAACTCTTTTAAAAAATTAGTTACTAAATGCCCGTTCACACCAAGCACGGTAACTATAAAGATAGCAATAAAGATATTGTTCTAAAAATAGTTCTCAATATTAAAGAATAGCATAGTTCACACCACAACTATACGATAACGATACAGAGGAACGATATCGTTGTGGTCACTTTCAAAACTATTTTTTTCCAGCTGATGAGCGATAGAACACTGACAGCCAATCAGAATCCATCCTGCTGTAATGAGCTCAAGAATTTAAAGCGGCAGACGCATGTGCACTTAGAATAAACAGACGATATCGTTCGCTGGTGTGGACCCAGGCTGTAAACATGTTTTTTTCTGCTGTAAAGTTGGACATTTTAACATGGGGAGTTAAAATGCCCCAGCGGCCAGTTGATGAATTACAGTTTAAGTCACTTCCTCGTTGGCTTCACGAGAGAGAGGGGGAGGTTGCCGCTTGGTGTGGACGCTAATATCGTTATCTTTATAGTTATCGTTCTTGGTGTGAACGGGGCTTTAAGATATTCAAGTACTAATATAAACAGTAAACTACATTAAATCTATATTTAGGGGACCTTTTCTTTTAGAAAAAACATCAGATTTTTATCAGTTTTCTGCCATAAAAATAATAAGGGTGTCAGGTAGGGTGATAGCATCACACTTAAACATAAAGTTACACTAAATGCAACTAATAAAAACATTTATAAACACTACTTTTATAAACATCGATTTTGAAACTCAAAGCACCATTAAAGTTTGTAAACACTACTGAGTAATAGAATTGAAGTTATAATTCATTAAAGAAAAATGTCCAAACCAAACAATTTACTGAAAAGAATCAGGCCTCCATGTTGTCACATTACTTGCCATGACTGAAAAGTTAGTAATGTTACTATTTTTAGTCACCAACTCCCCCAAATCTGATTTAGCCTATATGAATTTCAAAACATTTTACATATTTCCTCTATAAAACATGCTGTTTGTTACTACACATACAAAATCTGGCTTGTAAAACAGAAACATAAACTTTATTGATTTATGGTAGTCTTTGGTAACACTGTTGGAAAAGTTCTGCAAGTCACATGAAAAACATGACATGTAAAGATCTGCAATTGTAAAAGTATGTTACACATCTAAAACTCCCAAAACAGTTATGCTAATAGATCACATTTTATAATGTTTTATATGTACATACAAAAGCAAACAACAAATAAAAAAAAGCAAGTCACTGGAAGGCAAAAGCGCACTACCAAGACAAAAAGGCGGGAAAAAATAATAAATGTTTAGAATGAATAACTATTGTAGGCACTAACTGGGTTACTAGTAAAGCACTAGTATGTTCAAGCACTAACTGGCTAGTAAAGCACTAGTATGTTCAAGGCCTTTCAAGAGGGATTCAGCAGGTGGATCGGCAGGTATTGGCTTGTGTAACAGAAGTTAGCACTTTACCAGTAATATGTAATCATGTTCAAACATTTTAAATAATTGAACTGTAAAAGGATCTGCTCCTATCAAGCAGATATTTATGTTGACGTAGATATGGAAGGTAAAACCTGATCTCGGATCAGCACTTTTACTTTATAGCTGCTGTACCTTTACTCTAGATCTCTGGTTTCTCAGCCACTTCTGGTGAACGAAGTTGATTCTGAATCAGTCCTACAAGGAAACTTCCACATCTGAAGAGTGCAAGCTCACCTATTCACAGTATCTCCTAAAAGCTTCTAGATTAAGAAAGCAGTAGAGATTATCTATAGATTTGTAGTCAAGTCAAACATGCATATAAAAAGAGACAACAAATCCATCAAATGCTAATTAGCATTCAATGTAGGCTGTCGCAAACACTTCTACACACAAATTTGCTTCATTAGCACTGGTAAATAACAAAAGGTGGAAAAGCTTACCGGTTTAATAAAAATAATAATAATGTAAATAATGTTTTCTTGCAATTAGCTTCTATTGCATTGTAGTCCACCGTGAGATGCAGTGAGTCTAGGCCTCACTGAATTAATACAGTACTTTATAGTTAAGCAGCTAATTGCAGTGTTACCCAAAGTGCATTTTAGAATCTCTAAATGCATGTCTTCAGTGACAGAGAATCACATTTTAGTACAAACACATGAGAACGTTTTGGAAGACTATACGCGACTATACGCGTAACCTCCTCAATCATGCTATCTAAGGGTAATACTCAGTGGCAGACAGAGTGGCTACATTTAAATCAACACCATCTGCTTTGCCAGCTAAAGTGGCGGCTAGAAAAAAGAACATCAAAAGTACAAAAATGCCCCATGAAGGAATGGTTTGTATGTACACTGTGTTTCACACACTACTGAAAGAAGTATGTACTGGTACAAAGTACTAATGCTGCCTTCAAATCATGTAAGAATGATCATATTTACAACAAAAAAATAATAAGATAAATAAATGATATGTCTTGGTTTTGCAAAATGTTGTTTGGAAAAATGTAAGGAAAAGCTGATTTGAAAAATATTTTATGTACTGTATGTTATGTTAGGTGACTTGTCCAAACAAATATAATATATAATAATTAGTGCTGTCAAACTATTAATCACGATTAATCACATCCAAAATAAAGGTTTTGTTTACATAATATATGCGTGTATACTGTGTATATTTATTATGTATATATAAATACACACACATGCAGTATATATTTTTATTATATTTTTATTTTTATTTTTGTTTTATAACCCAACAGACCTGCGAAACCAAACTACCTTTCTAATTTTCTGTGGGAAAAGAAAATACTGATAATTAACATTAACACAATATTATACATAAAAATGTTTTATACAGGTGGGTATATTATGAATAACATAAATGTATAATTAATACATGTTTTAAATGTAAATAAGTAAATAATTTACTCTTTATGCTGTTGCACTAGCACATTGCTTCTCGTTTTTAAAAAACGCATCTCAAACAAAATCACTTGAACACATCATGTCATAAATATGATTTCCTAAAGAACTTGCAGGCAGAATTAGTACTTAGCATTTCATTTTTATTACGAAGACAAATGCACAAAAAACACTCCTCGCCTCTCAACCTTGGTTGATTTTTTGTCTCGTGTAGAAAAAAAAAAGAGCAATAATCGCACTCCACGAAAACCGTCATCCCTTTGCACAGTCACAATAACAGCTATGTACAAGAGTCGACCAGAAAGAATGCTCAGTCCGGCCCAGCATTACTGAGGTATGTTGTTCTTTAGCTCAAAGCGACTGTATACCTGTTTGGATTTGTTTAACTTGTTGTACTGGTTGACAAGGTCCAACTTGCTGTGACCCAACGTCATGCGTTTCTCGTCCCGCCGATGTATCCCTTTCTCCGGGCCCATCCTGTCCGACAGCATGGGTCCTGGTGGAGGAGGACCTTGCTTACTCTCCGGTTCGTTCTGAGAAAGATCTGGCCCGCCAAACAGAGAGGAATGAGTAGGAATCTTCTGGAACAAGTGGGAGTCCTTTTCTTTTGAGCTGAACAGATCAGTGAACTTACTAATGAACGGGGTGGGAAGTCGATATTTGGAGGTGACCTTGTTGTCGGATGGAGACTGTTGAGTTGGTGATGGAGGTTTTGGAGAACTGTAGAGACCTAAAGTCTGGATTTTGGATGTCTGTCCGGGAATGTTTGAGCGTAGGTAATCCGTCGCTCCTATTTTGGACCATTCCACACCAGCGGATTGACCTAAGGAAGTTCGCTCGACCGCCTGACTCCCATTCGGAGAACCTCTTCTGATGTGAGATCCTGAGGGTTTCTGAAGCACTGGACTCGTGACGCCCTTCCTGTCAGGAGGCTTTTGAGAGTTTTCGGGGTTCTTCTTGTCTGCCGTGACTTTAATAGGTCTCATGCCTGGAGGAGCTGCTTTGATGCTGGAAACGCTGCCACTGGATTGGCTACTGGAGTGCTCCGAATACACTCGCTCCCTGCTGCCGTAGTCTGCAAGAAAGTCCAAGCCCAAGTTTGGTACCGGCATGTGGTAAGAGTAACTGGGCAGCCCTTCTTCATCTGGATTGTAGAAACGGTCTATTATTTGGGAATCTGCATACATGCAGCGGAACTCGCGATCAAAGCAGTCTGTAACGTGGCCGGAGAAGTGCATTAGCATGTTGCTGTGAACCATGCCTGAAAGCCATGTAAAACTAGAGGGAAGAAGAGAAATGTCGTTTTTGAAGCATAACCTAAAATATTTCATGGAAATCAGCATAATTTACAAGAAGATAAGATTCTTAAAAAATATCCCATCTATAAAAAAGGAATCATTCATGAAATATGAGCAGAACAATTTTTGTATAATCGATCATAAAACCATTCTTGCATAAATCATTGCATTGTCGCACAGAAATGTATTCCGTTTTATTTCATTTTGAAATGTAACCTAAAGTTTTTCTTGGAAAAATTCCATAATTTACAGACAATTTGACAGACTATAAAACAGAATATAAAATGCCACATCAATACAAATGGATTCATTCATGAAACATGAGCAGAACAAGTTTCTGAAAAACATTCTTGCATAAACCGTTGCATAGAAATACGTTCTGCTCGGGTTTCATAAATGAGGTTCAAAGATTCTGTCCAGCCAGTTTTATGGATGGTTCAGGTGACTTACGCTAACAAGTGTTTAACTATGTTCAAGCTAACCATCCGTTTATTACTCAAATGTCTTGCATAATATCGAAGTAAAAGAGCATGTGATAAGCTTTACATTAGATCATCACTGTCTTTTCCGGTTTGTAGGTTAACCCTATAAAGTCTACAGTGACATATTTGATATATAAATTTCTAGGGCTTGTAAATGAATAACATGATCAAAACTTTGCTGTACACAATCTACTACATGCCTTCTGTTGCCTGATTGATAGTTCATACTTTTTTTTAGCAAGTAAAAAGCCTTTTAGTACCATTATAAAAATGTCTACCTTTAGGTTGTGGTCTTTTTCCTGTGAAATCTAATGATTATTATTATTATTTTTTTTAAAGTAAACATGAATACATTTTATATTGTTTGATTTACTTGATTTTCCATACATAATTTTTAGAAAACCATGAGTATCATCAGGCCGTTGAAGAATGCTTATTTGTTCATCTCTCAATCATCATTGTATTGCACTGCATTAAATGTTTTGAAAGTACAGAGCATTAAATATCATCTTACCAAGACATATTATTGAGAGATATATATTTATATGGATTTTATGTAAGTAGTCTGCTACACGGTTATAAAGATCTCACTGATTTGCATTACAAGCTGAATTTTATCTTATTTTTTGGTCATATACATAAATATCAGCAACTGCACAATATTGCTTGGGTGTTTTTTCCTCTTCAAGCATGAAACACGTTTTCTTCTATATCATAAATGAGCCATAAAAGCCTGATGTATCAAATAAGATACTCAACAATAAAACACATATGCAAACTTTTCCCCCCAGAATTTTAAAACTTTATCAAAAAGTTCAATAAACCGTTTCATTTCAAAAAACTAAAACTATTATTTCATATGTCAGGCTTTACAGGGTTAAAAGAGCACAAAAGACAGAACACTGTATCCCAGCATGCATCAATCTCAGTTAATCATTTCCTTCCTGGTGAAAAAGATCTAAACAGTCTAATCTTAAATTGTTAGTAATACGTTTGCAATCAATTTCCCTTTGAACTGTATGGACTTCTAGTCAAACAAAACTCCCTGTTGTCTATTATGTGGGCAAAGCCTTTAACACATGAGTGTGGCCTCACCCACTATCCACACTACTGTGAGCTAACACGCATGAGTTTATCCACGGGCCGCTATCAGTCGCACCAACCCTGAAATAACAAGACAACTCCTTCACAAACTCATTCCTCCTAATCATTCCTAATAATCATAACTGAGGAGCAGATTAGCCTGCAAGACTGAGATCATTTGTTGGGTCTAAACAGGCGTAATTGTTAACAATCAGCATAGTGCCTGCAGAATTCATCAGTTTAACTAAAAAAAAAAAATCCATCAAATTAGCCACCACTGAGGCTTGAAAGCTGACATCCACGATGGCGCTGAGGCTAATGCTAATGCTCAGGAAACACCGTCTCTGAGAAATGCGGAATCATCATGTCTGCTGGAGCGCATGAGGTGCATGTCCCGTCATCTTCCTGCCAAAACGCTGCCATGCGCTAAAATGATTTACATAATACAGAGTGATATGAGTGGCATGAGATAAGCCTGGACTGATGGGTATTTCAACATGAATAATTTAAAGCAAACTGAATTCCTCCTGTCAAAAATATGTGTTGCTTCTAGCGTAGTTGGCTTTGAAAAACTTGCTGTGACATGCTACACAAACATACTGGTTAGAAGGTACAGCATGTCTCAGAGTGTGTTAATATTATTAACTAAAACTATTAAAAACAGCTATTTAGAAACAAAGCTAAAATAAAATATAAATATTAGATAATGATTGGAAACATTGTCTTAGCAGCTAACTGAAATATGTTTAAGGTTGAAGCACTCAATGTAAAAAAAAAAAATCTGTAAAAACAGGCCACAATGTACTGTGTTAATATGACTTTTCCATTTTTATTTTTTTTTACAGGTGTTTTTCCTGTATTTTGAATTTAGAAATGTGTTTTAGGGTAAACCGAAATGTCAGTGAAATTACTGGATAATGTCCAGGCAGAAAATCACCAGTTTTTTTTTTTTACGGTGTAGAAATACTTAAATTGGAAAATGGAAATAAGTAAACACTCTAAAAAATGCTGGGTTGTTTCAACCCAACTTTGGGTCAAATATGGACTAACCCAACTTTTGGGTTAAAAATGTAATGTAAAAATTTAACCCAACGGTTGGGCTAGTCCATATTTGACCCAAAGTTAGGTTGAAACAACCCAGCATTTTTTTAGAGTGAACCATTAAAACTGAACTAAAACGGAAATTAAAGTAAATTAAACCTAAATATATTAAAAAACTAACTAATAAAAAGCACACCCAACTGAAAAAAAAAAAAAATGAACAAATTAAAATGAAATCTAAAAACATTTAAAATACAAACTAATAGTATATAAATAGAATAAAACACTGGTCTGGCACTTTCATGTACTAACCTATCGATTTATAAAGTTATCAAATCAATGGTACAGCCCTTTATAGATTTAACGTGGTAACCAGTCAACAATTTTAACACTATGGTAAAACTTGGTCATCATTTAAGCAAAATGCTTCTTAAAGCTCCATCATTTAAAGGATCTCATTAAATTACTAAGATTTACAATAGTAAACATAACTCCAGGAATTATGCTATTTTGGTAAAAAATTATGATTACATAACAGGATTTTTTCAACTAAATTATACAATGCACAAACAACATGATTAACATACCTATATGATCCAGCTATGACTTCCTCACAGTCAATGATCATGAATTTTTCTTGAACCTGACCTGTGAATTTTTTCCCACTTTTGGTGCAATATGTGTCTCCACACACACTTCTTATCCGCATATTCTGAAACAAAGCAACATTCAATAAATGTTAATTAATCAGGGAAGTCGTGGCCTAATGGTTAGAGAGTCGGACTCGTAACCCAAAGGTTGCGGGTTCGAGTCTCGTACCGGCAGGGATTGTAGGTGGGGGGAGTGAATGTACAGCGTTCTCTCCCACCTTCAATACCACGACTGAGGTGCCCTTGAGCAAGGCACCGAACCCCCAACTGCTCCCCGGGCTGCCCACTGCTCCGGGTGTGTGTTCACGGTGTGTGTGTGATCACTGCTGTGTGTGTGCACTTTGGATGGGTTAAATGCAGAGCACTAATTCCAAGTATGGGTCACCATACTTGGCCACATGTCACATCACTTAATCGTTTGGTTAAAATCACAAAGAGTATATTTTTAATACAATTAGAATCTGAGTTCTGGACTGGTACACAAATATTAATATTAGCAACAGAATAAAAAGCTGTTTTGTTTAGTCAAAAATGCTTTTGAAATGTGTGCTCATTCATCTTGACATTTGCTTTTGATGTAAATGACCTAAACTTACACAAGAATTATGTTTTGTTGTTGACTGACAGGTGTATTCACATACAAGTCTGAGAACACCCATCTTATTGAACACTTTCTTAAGACTTATTATGTGCGAGGATAAGAACTCATGAGCTGGACCACACCATTTTATGAAAGCACCAGCATCTGACTTACACTCAAGTGTGAATTCTGGACGTCCAGTTCTGAGCACATGTTCAAAAAATAGCTCAGATTCTTCTCGTCCAGTAGAACATACACTGGAACCCGGCGCTTGTTGGATGCCTCCATTAGATCACAGAACAAGTCGACGTCTGTAAAAATATCCATGACTATAGCGATAACCTGTGGTGTAAAATACATGCATTCAAATAAACCACAAACTGTAAACATTGATCATTAATTACTTTATTGCTTTCAGGTGATCATTTCATGATAATTATCAAGCAATGCAGTTGTTTGTACACTCTAAAAAATGCTGGGTTAAAAAGGGACAAACCCAGCTGTTGGGTTAAAAAGGGACAAACCCAGCTGTTGGGTTAAAAAGAGACAAACCCAGCTATTGGGTTAAAAAGGGACAAACCCAGCTATTGGGTTAAAAAGGGACAAACCCAGCTATTGGGTTGTGTTGACCCAGCATTTTTTAGAGCGTAATGTTTAATGTATTTTTTATGCAATTCATTTAATTTCACTAAATTCAAATTTAGTGACAGCAAAACATTTGGACATTTAAGTGACACTTATAAAATGTCTGAATGTAAATGTATTAAACAAACATTGTTTTTCTCAGATTAAATGGCACTTTTATAAGGCATTTTAGCAATGGCTTTCCATTACCCACTTAACTGCTGATTTTAAGTTAATTTAAGACGTGCATTTGAACAGCACTATTTTAAAACAAGCTTTATTTTGTTAAAAGTTTCGTTTGGAAAGTCTGTTTGTGCTCATTGTTTTTCCAAAAACATTTACACAGGTTTATGTGTGGCAAAATTACTTTTTAGGAGTCTGATTATTTCTTAAGCACAATTTGTGGTGCATAAAGGTTATAGTTGAACAAAAGCACTTAAAAAGTATCCAGGCTGTCCAAACGAACCTGTCTGAAAGATGTTAACAATGTATCTTGTTTACGTGTGACGTCACACGTCACATACAAAGCAGCCGCAGAAATGCAAGTTTCATGGAAAACATATTTGTAAACCACAAGGAAACAGCATTAGCCAAATGAGAGTTGTTCTTACCTTCTTGGCTTTACTAATAAGAGATCGAATGAGATCTTTGACATTTTTCGACTTGTCTCTCTGGAAGTGTATCTGCGCTTCTGTGGGTCCAAATCGGTTGGAAGCCTCTGGCCAGCCCAGCTCCAACAGTGGCGGCTCCTCGTCGGACATCATGGGGAAATAAGTCCCTGAAGTGAGCTCGGACACCGTGTCCCCTTCCTCTACGTCCACTCCATTAGTACTGCTATCCTCAACGCCACTTTTGGCCACATTCTCGGTGATATAGCGTATTTCCAGCGAGGAAAGAAAGTTCACTTCTCTTTCGTCATGCAAGACCTTTTTATACTCATTCTCTCCGTGCTCCAGGAGCGCGTCGGTGGCGAGCCGAGCGGTTTCATTGTGGCTGAGCTCGAGCGTTGATCCTTGTCTCCAGGGGTTCTTCACCTCCTCCAGCCTGTTGGCGAGCTTTCCGAGCGCTTTACGCGCAGGGTTCGGCGTCGGACGCAAAACCTCTGAACTGATCATTTCCACGACTGACGTCTGTCCAAGTAATCTTCAAAGTTTTACAAAAGCTCAAGCAAGCATTCGGTTATTAAAGCAGGTGTATTCCAAAGCTGACCTTGTTGTGTGTCATGGTAGTTGGAGTGCGTTATTCCCAGAGGCCTCTCCGAGTATTGTTGTGAGCTGCTGGGAAACTCAAAGCTGCGCTCCACCTGCGCGCTCACCTGCCCTGATCATCCAGCTGCTCCGCCTCCTCTGACGTCATGTGGAAAGAAACCTATGGCAAGCCATGTTAACATATACTTGATGGAAAAACGCAAACCAAAAATAGAATAAATTATTAATGGTATATGAGATATATAATATATGAACACTAATATTATTAACATTATTATCATTAAAAGTACTAATTATTATACATATTATTATAAATGAGATAAACGATAAAACAAATGAACACAGCACAAAACAAGAATTAAATAAATATTATTAATAATGTTTATTTATGAAATATATATGAACACTAATATTATTGACATTATTATCATTAAAAATACTAATTATTATACATGTTATTATAAATAAAATAAAAGATAAAACAAATAAACACATCACAAAACAAGAAAATCATTAATTATTATTATTATTATTAACAACAAAAACAATAATTATCATTATCATTATTATTCTAAATAAAATAAAAAAATAAATCAAAGGAAAATAACTAGAATAGAATTAAATAATATTATTAATGTACTTGTATAATTAGTAAAAAAAAAAAAAAACATTACAATTAATAGCTATTATGCATATTAAATAAAAGTAAAAGCTAAAACAAAGGAAAAAACACCAGAATATAATTAAATAAATAGCATTATTGTTGTTTATTTAATTGTCAAATACACAAAAATACCATTATTATTAATAACAAAAACAATCATTATTATTATGCATTATGCAACTAAAAATAAGATAAAACAAATGAAAACAGCACAAAACAGAATAGAATTAAATAAATATTAGTAATGCTTATTTTTAAATAGTGAACAAATAATTAACATTAATAATAATATTGACAAATATTATTATTCTTATATAAAATAATGATCAATCAAAAATAAAATACACACATTTGAAGATAAATATACAAATATATTAGAAGCCTGTCTTAGGGATTAAACAAGATAAATTGGATACTTTTTAATAAATGTTAATATGGCTTGCCATACAAAACCAAGCAGAGGAAGTTGTGCTTCAAACAATTGTGTCAAAAGACAAACAATCTAGTGTACTTAACTTGGCGCCCATCACACGGTGGAATGGATAAAGATATTAAGACACAAAGATAGATTCAAATTACAGTAGACTTTATTACTGCAGATCGTTTATCAATAACTTGTCCAAAGTCAAGAAAAAGTACCTTGGAAAATTTAGATAATAAGTAATAATACTTTTGATTGCTTGACGTTTGAGTCATTTGGTTATAGTTCTTTAATCTGGACAACAGTAACTGTAGTTTAGGACAAAAACGACACCATGTGATCTCTCAATATGGTGGTTCTGCTTTTGTGAAGCATGTCTGCCTTATTTGAATGGTAAATATAAAAGATGTCACTTGTTCAATTAATTTACATGACTGATGTGTGGAGATGATCACGGAGCGAAAAACGACACAGTAAGCAGACATACTCGAAGGGCTGGTCTTTGCAGGATCCTAACTATGTGCAACAGTTTTAGAGCAAACACTTCACAAACATCATACAGAGACAGAACGGTGTTGTATTATACTTCTCAACTCTCTTCTAAATGACACCATTGTTGTTTTTTTCGTCTCTATTGTCCAGCAGTGAGATATTTTTGGGTCTTCCTGTCTTTCTAAGGTAGCAGCCACCCTGAGGCTCGGCCGGCCGGCTGTGTGAATCATAACTTTTCCATGACATACTGTAAAAGGGAAACAGAGGCAAGCCAACAGTCAAACAGCATTTTCTTTGTTCAAAGTACTGAATGGATATTTTAAACTCTAAGCTGAAGCTGTTATAGTTGCAGAAAACATTAACACAAATTTACAGCTTTCCCACAGCTTTATAGCCTCTCATCCAGACATCTCATACACTGTAAAAAAAATTCCGTAAAATTTACGGTAAAAAACGGCAGCTGTGGTTGCCGGAATTTTACCGTAAAAAATACGGTAGCAACGTTTTAGGTTTTACGGTTTTAACTTAAATTTACAGTTAAATACCGTAATTTCATTAACTGATATAATGTTAATATACCAACCTACTGAAGTACTGAAATCTGTTTTGTACCTTTGTAATACACTGATAACCACCAAATGCAGGTGGTGATGAGAAAGTCACATGATGAACCAAAGCCCATCACAAGCAGCTTTTAAATAATAACATATATAGAAGGTGCACAGTGTCATTCACACAAACGCTAAACACCATCATGGTAACACGCATGAAACTGAACAACATTAGGTGTAACACACAACCCTAATATACAAAACTGATAAGAAAAAACTAAGAAGAAACATAGTTATTTCAACAAAAAAACATCAAATTTGAAATGTAACGCAGGGAATTCTGGTAATGTCAATTTACGGTTATTCACTGTAAATTATACGGTATTTTTCATGTAAAATGTATGTCCAATACATGTAATGTCCAATACAGTTTTTCACCGTATATAGTAGGGGAGTTTACCGTTAACCATTTAACAGGTTTTTACCTTAGCATTTTTACAGTCTTTTACCGTTAAATTCACGGTCATTTTTTACAGTGTACAGCACAATCTTGTGCTTGTCGTGAGTCACAGGGAGCTCTGAATAATGCTTTTACTGTAATGGTGACAGTATGCTGGACTATCTGTCCATGCTTTGATGATGAAGGGCAAAATTTGAATTTTTGTTCATGAATAAAACAAGAGAAGTGTTCAGGCAGAGAAATATTGCCCTTTTGTGAGTTAAACAATTGGATCCAAAAACATGGGACCACTTTGGGAGAGCATTTCTAATGTAATACAAAATGTTTCATTGAATTATATTTGAGTGAAAAGTAAAAGAATTTGAATTGTGAGAATTTGTTCAGTATTTAAGTTTAGTTTTTCCCCCACTTTTATTCAGCAGGGAAGCATTAAACTGACCCAAAGTGACATATATATAAAATATTACAAAATAAATGCTGTTTTTTTTAAACTTTATAGTCATCAAAGAATTCTGAAAATAATGTATAACAGCGTCCTTAAAGATATTAAGCAGCACAACCTTTTAAACATTGATAATAAGAAATGTTTCTTGAGCAGCAAATCAGCATATTAGAATGATTTCTAAAGGATCATGTGACACTGAAGACTGCAGTAAAGATGCTGAAAATTCAGCTTTGCATCACAGAAATAAATTACATTTTATAATGTATTTAAATAGCTGTCATTTTAAATTGTAATAATATTTTACAATTTTTCTGTTTTTACTGTATTTTTTTTAATCAAATAAATGCAGCATTAGTAAGCAGAAGAGACTTCTTTCAGAAACATTAAAATCTTACCACCTCATATATATATCTTTTGGTTTTCATCACATAATTGTAAATGATTGCAGTTGCAAAACTCTTCTTGGTTTGGCCTGCAGGTCCAGGAACCAGATCCTGTTCAGTTTGTGGTCTTTCAGTGGAACATATATGTAAAACTCAACATGCCAACAAGGTAAGTTACTGAGAAAGTCAACAGCATACCAACATACAACAGCAAATTGGTTATATATCATTATATACATTATTAGCAGGACTACTTCCTGGTAGCGCTAATCAGTATCAATTTATTTATAGCTGTATCTGTTAACAAACATAATTTACTACACTTTCATCACTTCATCGAGAAATGAAAACATTAAATGTTAATATGAGCAGCAATAACCGCATCATCTCTTGAGAACTGACAAAGCCGGTTTGTCCAGATACTCATGCCTATTTCACATGATAAAGGCTCCAACTGTGTCAACAGGAAAATTGATCCATCTCCAGAGAGTTTTCATTACATTCCACAGAAGTCTGCAGTCAACTATATCAGCTTAAACTTAAAATTTGATCATCGAGCATTACTATTACTGCTCATATTTAGGGTTAGGTTTGTTTTAAACCCTAGCAACCACCCAGAAACCCTTAGCAACCACATAGCAACACCCTAACAACCACCCAGAACATTGTTAGCTATGTACATTGTGGTGGAATGTTTCATTTTTCTTCACAAAATATGTTCAAAACTTTGACATTTAAAGCAAAAGTAAGTCGTTTTGTGTATTTTTCATGGTTGGATGGAGCCCCATACAGTTATGCGAGTAGAATTCACCATCTTAAATAACTGTCGTAATTACAGTGGACAGCTGTACACACCGGTGCGCCCGAAATCGCATACTGTCTGAATAGGCACGTGAATATGAACTTACTTCACGACCGTTAAAAAGCTATGCTGTATATAGTATGATGAATATGGATTATATGAATAAAATTCGGATGTAGGCCTACTACATCCGCCATGTTGTTACTGTCACATGACCTACCAGCATCAGTTGTCTCCTTCAGTGCTTTCCTCGCATTTCAGCATACTGTTGTATTTTTCGCATACTATATAGCAAAGAACTTATATATACTCTTTCGGATTTCGGATGCAGCAGTGCGTTTGTTGCTGCATAAAGCAGTCTGCCCTTTTCGCAGAATTTCGTACCTGCTCGCCAAACTTGAGAAAGGAATTGGAACCTTTTGCCATATTAGAAGTCAATTTGAATCAAAATGGTTTTGAAACGGATATTTAAATGTTAAAAAAAAGTTACAGGCTACAGTCGTTTAAATTAGCCTAGTGAAAACAGTGGAACCAAAATAAAAAATTTATTAATCTGATATTAAATACGTTTTTTTTCATCTTCACCTTATATACAGTATATATATATATATATATACAAACACACACACACACACACATTATAAGCATACAATACAGTACTGTTTAAATTGGTTATATAACACAACTACATTCAATCTGCTGGTGATATTCTTTTTGTTAAAGGTCTGCTAAATTTGATTTAATCCATTATGAAAGGTAAAGTTAGTTAGTATTTCGTACCTGCTCGCCAAACTTGAGAAAGGAATTGGAACCTTTTGCCATATTAGAAGTCAATTTGAATCAAAATGGTTTTGAAACGGACTGATATTGATTAAAAAAAA